GTCTTAGCAGGTCAGGGAAACATTCCTGCAGATGGTGAGGCCTGACCTGAGTCTTAAAACACCAGTAGGGGTTACACAGGGAGGGGTGCAGGGAAAGGCATCCTAGGCACAAGGATTGGCATGGGAAACCACCCAGACGCCCAAGACAGAAGAGCAGAGAAAAATCAGTAGTTTAAGGCCAGGCTGCACACACTCCCAATTTTTAGTGTAACCCAGTGTTTCTCAACCTTCTTTTCATTATCACCTGCTAAGGAGCCATTATAGATGCTGTTTTCCTAATTGCCCCTCCAAATGAAATGTTAACATCATAGATATACTGTGTAGCTGTTGACTGTTGTATATATCTGTGCTTTGTACATTATAGAGTAAGATTTTTTGCTTCTCAAGACCTAAACTTTGCCCTCTGGGGGGTGATGCTGCAGCCTCCAGAGTGCATGGTGGAACCCAAGAGGAAGCCCTCATCCTTAGAGGCACTCATGACCCCCATTTCCTGTTCCTTTCCTCCTCTGTGGTGGGGCACCACCCCAAGTTCCCCCAGAACCAGGTCTCTAGGCAGCCGTCTTGGTTCTGCTTGTTTTTTTCCAGCCATCATTGAAAAGAAGACCAACGACCTGCTGCTGTTAGAGTTCTACAGGCGGATCCTGGATCCAGAGACCGAGACCCCGCTACCCTTCATCAACCCATTCTGGGAGGGCTCTACCCTCCTCAAGCCTGTGGATCCTGTCAAGGTCATCCCCCCGGTGCTCCGGTCTGATCTCTTTGCCGACGGGTTGGATGAGGGTGAGTTGTCTCTCTGATCTGCACTGGTTGCTAGGAAACCTGTGCTGCAGAGGGTCTTCAGTGTTGAGCCTCAGTTTCCCCCTTTATGAGACCCATGGGTCCATCGGTTCCACTAGGTGCCATCTTGACTTGGTTCACTTGGGGATGGTTCTCCCTACAGGACAATGACCCAGCCACAGATCCTGAATTTCAGTTATCCTGGATAGTTTAAAAAATCAAAACTACACTTAAAATGAACCTTAAAATGTCCAAAGTTTACAAAGTATTAAGTTATTGGCACATAAGTTTCCCTGATCCCATTGCTCAGCCTCACACTATGCCCTCGAGTCTTATTCCAGCCGTGGCCTCATTTGGCCCCACCCCATCCAAGCCCCAATCCCGTGGTTGCAGGGACTGCGACCTGTTTTGTGCCAGAAGCCAGATGCCTAACTGTGGCCCTTTTGGCACCGGCCTGTTGATCTTCCCTAAGTTCAGGGTTAGAAGCTTCTCTCCCATGGTGGAGAACCAGCTCTTCTCTTTGAAGGTGGGGAGAAAATCAGAGCCACCTGGTTTTTGGGGGGCAATTAGGCAACACATATGGGAAGCCTGGGAAATGGATTCACCCATGAAGCCTGTAATCTCCCCTGTGGGAACTGGACATTCAAGAAAAACTTATTCAAGGGTCAAAGATGGAAGTAGGAGGATGTTCACTAAGCCCTAAACTGGAAATGAATGAAATACCACTCATAAGAGATCAGTTGAATAAATTCTAGTTCACCTATCCATGCAGTGGAATACTACACAGACACTAAAAAGATTGCAGTAGGTCAATATGAACTCAAACACACAGATTATCATTATATATATAAACTGTATAATTGTATATGTATGTATAATTATGTATACATTTGTATCTATAATTATATATAAATTCATATATAATATGATATATATAATTATATATAAATTCAATTGTTCTCAACCAGGGGTAATTTACCCTGTGGAGACTTTTGGCAATGTTTGAAGATATTTTTGGTTGTCATAACTTGGACATGGGGGATGCTTCTGGTGTCTAGTGGCCAGGGATGCTGCTAAAAGTCCTACAGAGTACAGGACAGCACTTCACAACCCTGACATATATATGGAGAAAGAGAGAGAGAGAAGGAAGAGGCAGAGAGGGGAGGGAGGGAAGGAACTGAGAGGGAGGGAAGGAGAAAGGAACCTTGATGGTGCCTGTAAAACCAAAGAGTCTGTACAGGCTGACTTACAGTGGCTATTTCTGAGTGATAGTTTGCAGAGAACCTTCTCTGCATTTATAAATTAAACGATTCTGTATTTTAAAAATTTTATTTTACAATGATCTTGTGTGACTTTAGTAATAAAAAAAAAACACCCCAGAGTTTTAAAAAGCTGCCCCACTTCTCTGAGCAGCATTTAAGTGTGCAGGAATGCCAAGGATGCCGGGAGAGGACTGCCAACACGAGGACACACGTGCCTTCTGTTTGATTTAGTCGAGGCAACTGAAACTTAGCAGTAGTGAAAGCTGGTCTGGTGTCAGCCACCTTAGCTTCCCTCACGAGTTCCTGAAGAGGAGGGTGACAGGGCAGAGGTGCTGGTAATGCTGTCCTCACAAGGTTGGGAACTTACTGATGATGCCTTCACTTACGTTCAAGGGAATGTTGATAAACAGTGGGTTCTCTTAGCCCACCAGCCTTTATGACTGGTATGTGCAAATGAGAAGAGGCATCCACTCTAGGCAGATTAGTTGGGGAAAATGCCCCTTCTGGGTAACATGGCTTGGCAATCAAGTGAAGGCTAGATTTCAGCCCATGCAATCGCCTCTCTACCAGGTGTCTTTGTGCAGTCCACATCCTGAACAACTACAGAGGATGAGCATGTCTCCTTGATATTAAACCAAACTCATCTTCACAGCCTCATCTAGGGAAAAAAAACAGTTATTGTCTATGTATCCCTATGCAATGTATCTATGCCTATCATCCCTCTCCCTAAAACTCCAGAATGTTCCCACTCCAACCCCCAGCACTGTGGAGGGACCCCAAACTAGGCTTGGACATCCTTTCCCTGGGCACCCATGAATGGGGCAAAGAGGCACTGTCTCTGGGAAGGAAGCCGCCCACCCCTTGCAGGGTTTGATTTCCCAGCTCCTCACATGAGTCCTGTCTTTGGTGCAGTGGACCAGCCCCTGGACCACAGCAGCCTTCAGCAGCTGGTGCTCAGTAACCGCACTGCAAGAGAGTCTCAAAGCAGAGAGGTCCACTCAGGCAGCATACCTGAGAAGCGGGATGATATGAGGGCCAAGAAGAAGTTAACGGTCTGAGGTGAATGGGGCTCCATTTGTACCATAACCCAGAAAGAATAAATGTTTTGTTCTGTAACTCCACTGCCTCACATTCATTACTAAGAGACTAGGGTGCTGGGAACCACGTGGGACAGGGTAGAGGAGCAGGAAGGGTTGAGTTGCAAAGCCGGCTGGGGGACAGAGTTGTGTGAGGTCACTGTGGCTATTGAGAACCCCTGAGGCGGTGGCCAGCACAGGTCCCCCTCACCATGGCCCACCAGGTGGAGCAGGGATGAGTGAACACAGACAGGGGCTGGGTGGGAGCCGAAGTATTGAACTTGGTGCCCAGATCCACACGGGATGCAGCAAGTGCTTAGTGCTCACAGGCAGGACCTGGAGCCGCTGAGCCTCTGTGTCTGCATCTCTGTGCGTGCCTACATATGCCTTTACATCTGTGTGTGTCTTGTGGATGAGCATGTCCCTCCAGAGCTGTGTCCAGGGTGTCTTGCCCTGAACCACACTGCACATGAGTGATCAGAGCTGGGACCTCTCCTGCGCCTCCTGGTGCTGGTGTGTCTGTGCAGGAGCCTCAGGTGGCGGGTTCTGGGCGTGGAGTCTGGGTCTTGGCAGCATATGGATCACGGTGGGTCATCACGGGCTGGGAGTCTCTTCGGTCCCTGCCCGCGCAGCATGCTGTTGGCTTCAAATGGGGCCTCCTCTCCCAGCAGCTGGCGCGTGTGTTAGTCATACTGATGGAGCTGGTCCTGAGTTCCTCCTGAGCCTTGGCGACTCACTCCAGTTCTGGCTTCTCCCGAACTGCCTGGACCGCCTCATTCCCTCTTGGTGGCTCCAGCAGCCACTCTCACCCCCAGTTTCAGATGTTGGCTCCCATCACATCATTTGCTTTGGCTGTGTTCCTGTGTTCCTGGGACTCTCTTGAGGGCCCAATGTCCACTCTGTTCACTCTCCCTTCTTCCTGAAAGGCATCTGGATTTTCCTTCGGGGAATGGCCCCCCAACCCTAAGGCCACACGGTTAGGGAGGGGGACTGATTTCATCCCCAGTAATGAGAGTTAATCATGTGCCAGTCAGAGCGCTTCTCCTGTTTCAGGGTTGTTTTAAGTACTCCATAGGCCCTGTTCCGGGATATGTGGAGAGGTTGGAGAAACAGAGGTACCCTCTCTCCACTAGGATTGCTGACGGGAGAGACAGGAGCTATTTTGCCACCGCTGAGAGTAGCACAACATGAAAGAAAGCAGTGGAGAGGCCTCAGGTTCTGATGGTACTGTTTGAGCTCCTGGTTGCAGCTATGCCTGAAGCCCTCAGACTTCTTGGCTGTGTGAACCCATTTGTTTGCTAAGTTGGGATTCTTGCAGACAAAATAGACCTGGATGCTTCTGCAATGACTTTGGTCACTCAAAATCAAGAGTCAACTCATGCTCGGACAGGGTTAGTTATCACACTTCACACAGGGTCAGAAATCAGTACCCCTCCCCCAATTTGCCAGGAAAGTACAGACAAGTTCTACTTTATCTGAAATTAGAAACTAACCTCTTATGATTAATGGGTATGATTTTTTTTTTAATCAAATGAGCCTATTCTTAGCATGCATGTGAGGCCTCTTCCTCTTAATTTATCATAAGGCCTGTCTAAGCACATCTATGGAATGGCATCCTAAAGGAAAGGTTATCATGGGAGGTAGTCTCTATAAATGCTTGAGCACTTTGGAAGAAAGGGCTGTGGTTCTCTAGTTATCATTCCTGTAAAATGTGGCTCTTGATAGAAATAGCCTTAAGTGGCTGCAGAGGTCTGCTTTAAATAAGGAGTCACTAAGATGCGTAATAATGACAGCAGGGCCATCACCCACTCATATGCTGCCTTTGTGGGAACTAGCAAAGGACCGTCCTTACTAAAGGCGCTTCTGTCAGAGAAATACCATGAGCAAATTGTACAACCTCCTGTTTATTTGAACATAGCCTCTGGATGAATTTCCATCTGCAGGATGTGTGGCCACATAGTATCTGTAAGCTAGTTGGGCTGCAGAGAAGATGGCCTCGGATAAAAGAGGCGGCCACACAGCTCACAGGCCAGGGGCAGGGACAGCTGTGTTACTGGGAAACGTGGGCAAAGACAAGCCCAGGTTCCGGCAGTGGGCGTCCCCCCTTAATCCTTCTCTTCTCCATGGGTGATGATGTGCACCAGATTCTTATAGTCCAAGTTGCCGGTCACATCAGGAGGGAAGGCGGCGAACATCTGGTCCATCTGCAGTGAAACAGCGAGACGTGCTGAGGATGCGTACATAGTAGCCTGCATGCCACCCTTATTCCACCAGGAAACCAGGGGAAGGGAGAGGGAGGGCTGTGTGCAGGGCAGCTGAGAGAAAGGTGGCTAGGGGGATATGACACTCAGACCCCCTCCAGGAATGCCTTGTCACCCAGCTGCTGGAGAGAGCTGCCAGCCCCAAGGTCATGCCCTTGCTGGTGCAGCCCACCGCCAACTGATCAGTGTGGGGCCCAACGTGGGACCTCTCAGAAGGGCTGTTCTAGCTGGGGGTGGGGGGTGTCGACCAGGCTGTTCTCTGGGTCTGAATTGCATGTCTGCATCTCCCACTGTGCTCTCCTGCTTCCCTGCCCTTCCACAGGTGCTGACAGCAAGGGCCATCCTGCAAGGATGTGCCCAGGAACCCAACCGGCGGCATAAAGCAGGGATCTCAAATCACGTGTGCAAAGGGACTGGGCCAGTTGCATAAGGGAGCAAGGTGGAACTGGTGGGACTATGGATAAGTGGAGACATACAGCCCAGCTAAAGAGGGAGCAACTGCTTAGGGCCAGCTGCGTGTGCCCATGTGGGCAAGACTCTTTGAGAGAATATGATCCTTTGAGGGAAACTAAATATCTCGATTTTTTAAACATGCAATTTCCACATTTTAAAAGTATTGGCTAATTATTTTTTTAAAAACATTGGCTATGACAGCTACCATTTATGTTGCCCTTATCACATGCCTCAGAACTTCACACATTTTCACTCATTTAATCCTCACAGTGTACTGTGAGATAGGGTCTATTATTATCCCCACTTTTCAGGTGAGGAAATTGAGGCATGCTGAAGTTAAGGAGATTGTCCAAAGTCACAAAGAGAGGAAGGCAGGCTCTTTTAACTGCTTGAGGTTTTGCGGGTAGAGTGATCTAAATAAAGTTTTTAGTGAAATGTGGAACTCATTGGAATCAGGTCTGAGAAGGAGCTATTTTAAAAAGACTCATGAAAGTTTTGTTAGTAATACTGACAGGACTGTTTCTTGTTCGTACAAGACCTTTAGTAAATTAGCAAAACTGCCCTTCCTCTAGGCACATTACTGTCACCTGCTAGAAAATGTCATACATACTGATTTTTAAAAAATTGTAACAAGACATTTTACTGCCATCTGCTGGAAAATATTGCAACAAGTACATACTCTACAATATATATTATGAGAATGTGCAATATATCTAGGAGAACTGTGCAGTGTACAACCTATAAGAACAGTACATAGTAGCCTGTATGCCACCCTTATTCCATCAGGAAACTGATGCTCTAACCAGGGCTCCATGCTTTGTGAGGAAGGAAGCCCTACAGACAGACCTGGGTTTGAATCCAAGTTCCCCAGCCCTACCATTGTCCTTTTAGACAACTTCTCTGGGCCTCAGTTTCCTCACCTATAAAATGGCAGTGATACTAGGGCTCACCTCGTAGGGTGACTGAGAGAATGAAATGAGATAAGGGCTCAGCTCAGTAAACAATAGTAGGTTCTCTCTCAGTGTTGGGTCAGGGGTGTTTAAGAAAAGAGAAGGGTGGAGTCCCCAGAAGGTGGCACCAGTTGTTGGGGTGCAGAGAGTGTCCAAAAGGCTCTGTTACCTCCTCCTTGGAAAACCTCTCTGCCTGTGTGGTCAGCATCTCCCGAACGCTGCAGAGAGAGAAGAGCAGGTGTTGGCACCAGGTGCGTGTGTGGGAAGCAGGTCCCTCATGTCCTCCCCACAAATCCCACTCACTAATCAGCCTTGAGCACCCCTTTGCCTTCAGGGTCAAACACTTTGAACGCATTGAGAATGGTCTCCTCGGGGTCTGCCCCTGAAACAGAAAACAGAGATGAAATGCTGTGGGTGGCTGGGAACCCACAATGTGCTGGGAGGCCAGGCCCAAGTCCCTCCAAGGTGGTGGGGCCCGAGCAAGGCTGTTTCACTTGGAGGAAAGACCCTGCCTTCCTTCAAGTACTGAGTCGTTTGGTATTCTGAAAGAGAGGGCTGAGAATCCAGTTATTTCTGAGCACCCTCAAAGGCAAACATGGATTTAGAGTTAGAGAGACTAGGATTTGAATCCTGCCTCCAGCACTTGCTAAATATGAGTCTGCCAGCAAGTGATCATCCATCTCTGAGCCTCATTTCCCATCTGCAGGCTGGGATAAGAATGGAGCCTGCCTCCTAGATGCCATTAAGTGATGTGATACATATAAAGTGCTTAGTGTAAGGTCTGACTCAGGGTAAGCCTTGGAGCCATGTTCACTGCAGTTTTTTATTCTTTTTCTCCCTGCAGTGTTAGTCTGCCTTCATTTCCTGCCAACCCCTATATGTTCTCCTGGTGCTTTTATTCATGCCCAAAGATGAAGACATGTAAAGACAGGCACAGACACACACACAGATGCACAAGTACAGACATACATACACAAATATGCACACACAGAAACAGATGCACAGACACACATATAAGCTTACCCTTCAGTTTCTCTCCAAACATGGTTAGGAACACAGTAAAGTTAATTGGACCTGGAGCTTCCTTGAGCATTTCATCAATTTCCTCATTTTTCACATTCACACGGCCTAGGGCAGGAAACACACACTCAGGGCCTCCAAGCTGAGACAGAAACAGCTATCAGGACACTGCCATTTGCCCTTGTAATTCCACTTCAGGGAATCTAGTGGAGGAACGATCAAGAGACAGAGTGGACAGGGCCAAAGATTCACGTGAGAAGATGTTCTTGACGGTGTTATTTATAACAGCCAGACAGCTGGAAACAACCCAAGGGTCTGATATGAGGAGGCGTTAGTCATTTGTATAGTAGGGTTTTCAAAACCTGGAACATTTTAAACAAATATTTTAACTTTTTACTCAAGTGGACAACGCTTATATTATAAATTAGCCCTTTTCAGTTGGAGGTGGGAGAGATCAATCAGAATCACCTGAGGGAACTTTTTCAAATTATACCTGCTGTTACCCACACAGCCTTGGAGGTTCTGATATATCTGCTCTAGCCCCTGCCGTAAGTCCATATAGTATCTTTGTGAGAATTAGAAAAAGTCACCCCTTCTTAAGATAATTTGTTTTAAATACAAAAATCTATAGTGGCTACAAACATGAATCGTACTGCGTATAATTGTGCAGTGTATAACCTGCACAGCTGTTCATGGTGACCCGAAGTTCTGCAGGTGGGAGTGGAAGGGTGGGTGGTGGCAGGTTGGACATGTGTATTCTGAAAAAGCTCCATGCAGTCGTGTTTACACTCTTGAGATGTTAAATTTTAAAAGTTGAGTCCAAAAATAGAATGAGTCCAGTTTTTTTTTGAACCACAAAAAACAGATACCTAGAAAAGACTTAGAGGCTTGAAATATTAACAGTGGAATGTGGCCTGTTGGGTAATGTTTTCTCCTTTGTACATTTATGCACTATCCAAGTGTTCTATTGTGTGCTGGCATAGTATTCAAAATCACACACAAAAAAAGTTATTTTAAAAGAAAAATAAAAGATAATATGAAGACACCCTTAGGCTAAACTCTTCTTTCCTATCTTCTGAAATTTGTCTTAAAGGCCAATTGTGATTGAGCCATTTCTTTGGAAAATGACAAGCTCTTGAACTTTCTGATGGTCCCACCTCCTGCGCCTCTTGGGGGTGGGATAAGGAGACCCTCTTATGAACTTAGAAGGCGGACGTACCAAGAGCAGCAAAGGTGTCTCTCAGATCATTCTTGTCAATGAAGCCATCCCTGTTCTGGTCCATGATGGTGAAGGCCTGTGAAGGGGGTGGTTGACTGGTCAGCCAAGGAGAAACTGGGGGGAGGAGCATAGGAGGTTGGGCAATGGGCTGGGAGAAATGGGATTCTGAGATTCAAGGAGCATTGAAGGACATCAGTCAAAGATTTAAACCTGGCAGTTCCTCAAATGTTAGGTGTAGAATTAACATATGATCTAACAATTCCACTGCTAGGTATCTGCCCAAGAGAACTGAAAGCATCTGTTCACACCAGAACCTGTAGATGAATGTCCATAGCAGCTTCATTCATAATAGCCAAAAACTGGAAACATCCCACATGTCCATCAACTGATAGATGGATAAGCAAAACACAGTTTATACATACAGTGGAATATTATTCAGCAATAGAAAGGAAGGAAATTCTGATATGTACTACAACATGGATGAGCCCTGAAACATTATGCTGAGTGAAAGAAGCCAGACACAAAGGCCACATGGTATATGATTCCATTTCTATGAAATGTCCTGAATAGGCAAATCCATGGAGCCAGAAAGTAGATCAGTGCTTGTCAGGGGCTGGGGGAAGAGGGGAGTGGGTATGAGGTTTCTTTTGGGGGTAATGAAAATGTTCTGAATTAGATAGTGGTGATATTTGCAAAATTTTGTGACCACACTAAGTAACTACTGACTTGTACACTTACTTTTAAAAAGTGAATTTATGGTATGTGAATTATATCTCTAGAAGGCTGGTATTTAAAAGAAACAAGTGAATAACTGGGATCTTATCTGCCTTCCCACTACTCCCAAGCCCAGGTTATCTGTAAAATGGGACCAATAATCTTTCCCAGCTAGCTCCTGGGGAGACTCCACGAGTTTTATAAATGTGCAGGTATTTTACAAATGACTTATCAGCCATACATTTTTTGAGTTCTTCTTTGCAACTGGTTCCTGAAAGAATTGGCACCCCCTGCCTGCCTCCCAGCAGTTGTTCTCATTCCAGAGATTGGGACAGTGTGAGGCAGAAGGGATGGTATCATCTTCTCCCTGGAAGGTGACTATTTCAAGTTCAGATATGACATTTTATCCTGGGAATTACATTTTCCCCGGTGGCTGTGGGACACAGTATTCCTGTGATTTGAGTTGTCAGTGGGAACAAAAGGTGTAAGTGTCCATCCCCATTTGGAAGCCCCAAGAGGGTTGCCCTTTGATATAAAACACACTGGCCTCTTTAGCATCGTTTTAGCATATTTTCCTCTGAAGGGCCAGGTGGGAGTGCGGAGGACTAAGTGTGAGCCATCACCACTGCTGGAAAACTGATTCAAAGTCCACCTCCTACGCCTGTGCGCAGTGGCTTAATTTTGCCTAATTGGTACTTAGGTTTACTCAATAAAATGCTTCCATAGAATGTGATAGAGTTTCAGACCTGGCTAGTGTTCAACAATTGAGGATTGTAAAATTTAAAATCCAAGAGATACTGCTTTTCATCCCTCAGATTGGCAAAAATAATATTTTAGACTATTAATACCCACATTGATGGAAATGTGGGGCAAAGGCATTTTCTTCCTTTGGGCCTGTTGAGGGAAGGGATCCGTATAGCGTTTCTGGAGGACAATTTGGACCAATGGTTCTACTTGTTTTTGGTTCCTTTTTAAGAAGTTCCTTTGACCCAGCAGTTCTGCTTTTAGGAATTTGCCCCGAGGAAATAACCAGAGATGCAAGCGAAGATGTGTTATTTATAATAGTAAAACAGTCTAAACAAATGTAACATCCACATCATAGGAAGTGATTTAAATAAATGATAGAAAATGTTGATGCTGAATTGCTCAAAGGAAAATAGCAGGTAATATTAGCATGCATGGAAGATTGTAACTTTGCTTAATGAATATATATACATACAACAAAAATGACTTGAAGGGTAGATACCAAAATGTTAACTGATTATCTCTGAGCTGTAGAATAGTAGGCCATTCATTTCTTCTTTGTGCTTTTCTGAAAAATTTTCCTATATTTTCAACAAGAAATATGCTTTACTTTGATGATCAGCAAAAGTTATTAAAAATTTCTTTTTAAGGTTGAGACAGACTTTGGACTTGTTTGGAGGCTAAACACATCTAATCAGGAGGTCCCTGCAGGGAATATGGGACAGGGGAAAGGTGCTCACTAATGGGTGGGAATTTCCATCCAGGCAGATGATTCAACAGCTCCACCCACCTCCTTAAACTCCTGGATCTGGGTCTGTTCAAACATGGAGAACACATTGGAATTGGCGCCCTCTGCTCTCTTCTTGGCTTTCTTGGGTGGCTGTGGTGGGAAAGAGCATCAGTTAAGAGAGTCTGAAGCTGTGAATTAGAAAACTGGGTCAGCTCCCATCTCTGGTGAGCCTCAGCTGCTCATGTGTGAGCAGGGGGTAGGGTGCCCACGGTCATCTCAAAGCAGTGATGCTGGAGAGATAAAAGGGCACTAAACCCTGTGTCTCAAAAGCACCCCAGTTCTGGTTGCTTGCCAGGGATTGTGGGTCTTGGAGCAGCTCCTTTGCAAACTAGGGGAGGTGGAGGTGCGTCCGGGGATGGAAGCCACACATCTGGATCAGCCCCAGTTGTTCTAGCCGCTTTTGTTCTGACGCATTTCACAAAAAGTTGAGTAATGCAAAAGGAGAATTGACTGGAGGGGCAAAAAGTCAGGCTCACTAAACCATGAGGAATGCCAGGATGAAGCGACTTTTTCAGGGTGTTAAACCCCAACTGCTACCCACCCCAAATTTTCCCTTGATTCAAATGGCAGTGAAATCTCCTCTCTAGATGTTCTGTCCTTACACTATGAAAACAGTGCAGAGAAGGCGAGTTAACATTTCTCCCCACCCCACTTGTCTCTGACTTTAAATAGCGCACACACTTCAGCACCAAACATACATTATTTCATTTAATCCTCTGTCTGTCAAGTTGGTGCTATTATTACCAGTGCCATTTTACTTGGGAGGCAAGTGAGCCTCGGAGAGGTTGGGTCACTTGCCCAGGGTCGCACAGTCACAACAAGGCAATGTGTCTGAGTTGAACTTGGGCAGTGTGTCTCCAGAGTCTGTGCCCCCAACCATTCTCCTGCCCTGACCCTGATTTGGGGGCTTCCTGCTTTGGGAGGGGGACACCTAACCAAACAACACAGGGAGAAATGCTTTAAATTTGCAAGTTCAAAAGGTGAAAACAAAAAGATTCTTTCCTCCAGCTGCCTGAACAAGAGAAAAGAATTACAATTTGATCCTTAAAAGCATTCAATCCCATTTTGCAAGCCCTGGGAGTTATTGATTCCTCAAGAGGTCAGTAGACAAACCATAAAAAAGCCAACTCTCTTTTATTTTGTTTTTGTGAGTCCCCGGGAGCTGCTGTTATTTGTGGCTTATCGGGGCATTGATTGGAGTTCCTCTGTGCGCACGCGGCCAGCAGAGCTTTCTCCACCAGCGGCCGGGGCCCTGGAAAGCTGCCTTTCTACCCGCCCCTTTGGTTCTTTGCTTGCATGTGGCGTCCGCCTCTTGCCAACCCCACCTCACTCACCTCAAGGAGGCATCGCTACTCACCATGGTGGAGAAGGACAGGGCACTCCTTCCCTGGAAGAATCCCACAGGCTGCCCAGTTCACCTCGGCCCAGGAACAATAAATACTTCCTCCCCCATGTTTAAAAATAACCCCATGACCACTTTTGGCAGTAATAGGTAAGACAGACACCACCTAAGTCTCCCCCACCCCATGCCATTCTTCTGAAGTAAGGGCAGCTCACTCACCACCTGGTGACACATGAGACCCAAAAAGACATTCAAGGTTAAAGAGACAGGCGCCTGGGTCACAGGGAGAGATGTGCATGCTTTCTGCAGCGCTAACATGACATTTGTGCTTGTCAATTTTGAGAAGGAAAATGGTGGGAGGCAGGGACTGTTCAAATTCCCTAATATTATTGGGGTCCCAACCAGGGCCTTTGCACCTACAGTTCCCTATACCTGAAATGCTTTTACATCAGACATCTGTGGGGCTCCCTCCCTCAACTCCTTCAGATTTTTGTTCAGAGGTCACTTTCTCAGTGAGACCCCACCATCCTGTTTAAAATAGCCATCCACCCCCTGTCCTGCAGAGGCCTGTCTGCTTTGTTTTTCCTCACAGCATTTATCACTTCTTAGCACACGATGTGGTTCACTTACTTATTTTGCTCAGTGTCAGTGGACAGTCAGCTCGGGAGGGCAGGTTCCCTTCACTTCCCTCATCACTCTCCCCCAGCTCCTAGCTCATGACTGGCACAAAGCAGCTGCTCAACAATTATTTGTTAATTAAAGAAATGCTCTCACTTACCATATGTTTGTTATGTGCCAGGAACCCTATACAGATATCTCATGCTCATATTTATATTTTTCAACCACCCCGTGGGGTTGGGACCACCTTATCCTCCATGTCCCCATTTCACAGATGAGGAAACACGTTGAAAGGCAAAGTGAGCTTCCCCAGGGTCACACAGTGGTGGAGCTGGGAGTGGGTCCAAGGCCCATTTACCTCCCCAGTTGGGGCTCTTACAGGGCCTGGGAGAAGGCAGCATGTTCAGAAGTTGAGGCAGGACAGTTATTACTCTCTCCCAGGGTGACTTTCCTCATGTGGCCTCACAGGCAGCCTTGGAGACCACAGAGTGAGAACTCGGGGCTTGTAATCGAGTCATGATTTTATGTAGTGGCTGTGGGTGCTGGGTTCCAGAGTTCATACCTCTAAGAAGGAGAATATTCCCTTGACCATCTCCAGTGGTAAGGACTCAGATCCGATGGCCAGACAAGCATTCATCCCCTTTTTGGGTCCATACTGTGTGCCAGGCACAGTATTGCAGGGGAGACCACCACCAAGTGGCACACTCCCTGCCCTCATGGCACAGATAGTTCAGGTAGTAACAAATATTACATAGGGATGAAATAGAGGGACATGGTTGTGACAGGGGGGGATACCTCACATGGGCCCAGGAGTCCTTTCTGAGCAGAGGCTGGGGGAGCAGGCTCCTGGCAGTAGGGACAGCAAAAGCCTCAGAGGAGATGAACTAGGAGTCTTTGAGGAGCAGAAGGACCTGTGTGGCTGTTGCTGAGTGAGTGAGGGGCTCAGGGTGAAGCCAGCAAGGTGGGCAGGCAGATCATATGGTATGGACTTGGGATTTCATTCCAGAAGTAAGGGGGTCATTCAAGAGTCCCAACCAGGACCCTTTGTCTAACCAGCCTCTGGGGCCTACCCTGCCTAGGGACATCCTGATTTGGGAGCAAGGCCAGCAAGCGCCACTGATATATCTGCTCTAGCCCCTGCCGTAAGTCCATATAGTATCTTTGTGAGAATTAGAAAAAGTCACCCCTTCTTAAGATAATTTGTTTTAAATACAAAAATCTATAGTGGCTACAAACATGAATCGTACTGCGTATAATTGTGCAGTGTATAACCTGCACAGCTGTTCATGGTGACCCGAAGTTCTGCAGGTGGGAGTGGAAGGGTGGGTGGTGGCAGGTTGGACATGTGTATTCTGAAAAAGCTCCATGCAGTCGTGTTTACACTCTTGAGATGTTAAATTTTAAAAGTTGAGTCCAAAAATAGAATGAGTCCAGTTTTTTTTTGAACCACAAAAAACAGATACCTAGAAAAGACTTAGAGGCTTGAAATATTAACAGTGGAATGTGGCCTGTTGGGTAATGTTTTCTCCTTTGTACATTTATGCACTATCCAAGTGTTCTATTGTGTGCTGGCATAGTATTCAAAATCACACACAAAAAAAGTTATTTTAAAAGAAAAATAAAAGATAATATGAAGACACCCTTAGGCTAAACTCTTCTTTCCTATCTTCTGAAATTTGTCTTAAAGGCCAATTGTGATTGAGCCATTTCTTTGGAAAATGACAAGCTCTTGAACTTTCTGATGGTCCCACCTCCTGCGCCTCTTGGGGGTGGGATAAGGAGACCCTCTTATGAACTTAGAAGGCGGACGTACCAAGAGCAGCAAAGGTGTCTCTCAGATCATTCTTGTCAATGAAGCCATCCCTGTTCTGGTCCATGATGGTGAAGGCCTGTGAAGGGGGTGGTTGACTGGTCAGCCAAGGAGAAACTGGGGGGAGGAGCATAGGAGGTTGGGCAATGGGCTGGGAGAAATGGGATTCTGAGATTCAAGGAGCATTGAAGGACATCAGTCAAAGATTTAAACCTGGCAGTTCCTCAAATGTTAGGTGTAGAATTAACATATGATCTAACAATTCCACTGCTAGGTATCTGCCCAAGAGAACTGAAAGCATCTGTTCACACCAGAACCTGTAGATGAATGTCCATAGCAGCTTCATTCATAATAGCCAAAAACTGGAAACATCCCACATGTCCATCAACTGATAGATGGATAAGCAAAACACAGTTTATACATACAGTGGAATATTATTCAGCAATAGAAAGGAAGGAAATTCTGATATGTACTACAACATGGATGAGCCCTGAAACATTATGCTGAGTGAAAGAAGCCAGACACAAAGGCCACATGGTATATGATTCCATTTCTATGAAATGTCCTGAATAGGCAAATCCATGGAGCCAGAAAGTAGATCAGTGCTTGTCAGGGGCTGGGGGAAGAGGGGAGTGGGTATGAGGTTTCTTTTGGGGGTAATGAAAATGTTCTGAATTAGATAGTGGTGATATTTGCAAAATTTTGTGACCACACTAAGTAACTACTGACTTGTACACTTACTTTTAAAAAGTGAATTTATGGTATGTGAATTATATCTCTAGAAGGCTGGTATTTAAAAGAAACAAGTGAATAACTGGGATCTTATCTGCCTTCCCACTACTCCCAAGCCCAGGTTATCTGTAAAATGGGACCAATAATCTTTCCCAGCTAGCTCCTGGGGAGACTCCACGAGTTTTATAAATGTGCAGGTATTTTACAAATGACTTATCAGCCATACATTTTTTGAGTTCTTCTTTGCAACTGGTTCCTGAAAGAATTGGCACCCCCTGCCTGCCTCCCAGCAGTTGTTCTCATTCCAGAGATTGGGACAGTGTGAGGCAGAAGGGATGGTATCATCTTCTCCCTGGAAGGTGACTATTTCAAGTTCAGATATGACATTTTATCCTGGGAATTACATTTTCCCCGGTGGCTGTGGGACACAGTATTCCTGTGATTTGAGTTGTCAGTGGGAACAAAAGGTGTAAGTGTCCATCCCCATTTGGAAGCCCCAAGAGGGTTGCCCTTTGATATAAAACACACTGGCCTCTTTAGCATCGTTTTAGCATATTTTCCTCTGAAGGGCCAGGTGGGAGTGCGGAGGACTAAGTGTGAGCCATCACCACTGCTGGAAAACTGATTCAAAGTCCACCTCCTACGCCTGTGCGCAGTGGCTTAATTTTGCCTAATTGGTACTTAGGTTTACTCAATAAAATGCTTCCATAGAATGTGATAGAGTTTCAGACCTGGCTAGTGTTCAACAATTGAGGATTGTAAAATTTAAAATCCAAGAGATACTGCTTTTCATCCCTCAGATTGGCAAAAATAATATTTTAGACTATTAATACCCACATTGATGGAAATGTGGGGCAAAGGCATTTTCTTCCTTTGGGCCTGTTGAGGGAAGGGATCCGTATAGCGTTTCTGGAGGACAATTTGGACCAATGGTTCTACTTGTTTTTGGTTCCTTTTTAAGAAGTTCCTTTGACCCAGCAGTTCTGCTTTTAGGAATTTGCCCCGAGGAAATAACCAGAGATGCAAGCGAAGATGTGTTATTTATAATAGTAAAACAGTCTAAACAAATGTAACATCCACATCATAGGAAGTGATTTAAATAAATGATAGAAAATGTTGATGCTGAATTGCTCAAAGGAAAATAGCAGGTAATATTAGCATGCATGGAAGATTGTAACTTTGCTTAATGAATATATATACATACAACAAAAATGACTTGAAGGGTAGATACCAAAATGTTAACTGATTATCTCTGAGCTGTAGAATAGTAGGCCATTCATTTCTTCTTTGTGCTTTTCTGAAAAATTTTCCTATATTTTCAACAAGAAATATGCTTTACTTTGATGATCAGCAAAAGTTATTAAAAATTTCTTTTTAAGGTTGAGACAGACTTTGGACTTGTTTGGAGGCTAAACACATCTAATCAGGAGGTCCCTGCAGGGAATATGGGACAGGGGAAAGGTGCTCACTAATGGGTGGGAATTTCCATCCAGGCAGATGATTCAACAGCTCCACCCACCTCCTTAAACTCCTGGATCTGGGTCTGTTCAAACATGGAGAACACATTGGAATTGGCGCCCTCTGCTCTCTTCTTGGCTTTCTTGGGTGGCTGTGGTGGGAAAGAGCATCAGTTAAGAGAGTCTGAAGCTGTGAATTAGAAAACTGGGTCAGCTCCCATCTCTGGTGAGCCTCAGCTGCTCATGTGTGAGCAGGGGGTAGGGTGCCCACGGTCATCTCAAAGCAGTGATGCTGGAGAGATAAAAGGGCACTAAACCCTGTGTCTCAAAAGCACCCCAGTTCTGGTTGCTTGCCAGGGATTGTGGGTCTTGGAGCAGCTCCTTTGCAAACTAGGGGAGGTGGAGGTGCGTCCGGGGATGGAAGCCACACATCTGGATCAGCCCCAGTTGTTCTAGCCGCTTTTGTTCTGACGCATTTCACAAAAAGTTGAGTAATGCAAAAGGAGAATTGACTGGAGGGGCAAAAAGTCAGGCTCACTAAACCATGAGGAATGCCAGGATGAAGCGACTTTTTCAGGGTGTTAAACCCCAACTGCTACCCACCCCAAATTTTCCCTTGATTCAAATGGCAGTGAAATCTCCTCTCTAGATGTTCTGTCCTTACACTATGAAAACAGTGCAGAGAAGGCGAGTTAACATTTCTCCCCACCCCACTTGTCTCTGACTTTAAATAGCGCACACACTTCAGCACCAAACATACATTATTTCATTTAATCCTCTGTCTGTCAAGTTGGTGCTATTATTACCAGTGCCATTTTACTTGGGAGGCAAGTGAGCCTCGGAGAGGTTGGGTCACTTGCCCAGGGTCGCACAGTCACAACAAGGCAATGTGTCTGAGTTGAACTTGGGCAGTGTGTCTCCAGAGTCTGTGCCCCCAACCATTCTCCTGCCCTGACCCTGATTTGGGGGCTTCCTGCTTTGGGAGGGGGACACCTAACCAAACAACACAGGGAGAAATGCTTTAAATTTGCAAGTTCAAAAGGTGAAAACAAAAAGATTCTTTCCTCCAGCTGCCTGAACAAGAGAAAAGAATTACAATTTGATCCTTAAAAGCATTCAATCCCATTTTGCAAGCCCTGGGAGTTATTGATTCCTCAAGAGGTCAGTAGACAAACCATAAAAAAGCCAACTCTCTTTTATTTTGTTTTTGTGAGTCCCCGGGAGCTGCTGTTATTTGTGGCTTATCGGGGCATTGATTGGAGTTCCTCTGTGCGCACGCGGCCAGCAGAGCTTTCTCCACCAGCGGCCGGGGCCCTGGAAAGCTGCCTTTCTACCCGCCCCTTTGGTTCTTTGCTTGCATGTGGCGTCCGCCTCTTGCCAACCCCACCTCACTCACCTCAAGGAGGCATCGCTACTCACCATGGTGGAGAAGGACAGGGCACTCCTTCCCTGGAAGAATCCCACAGGCTGCCCAGTTCACCTCGGCCCAGGAACAATAAATACTTCCTCCCCCATGTTTAAAAATAACCCCATGACCACTTTTGGCAGTAATAGGTAAGACAGACACCACCTAAGTCTCCCCCACCCCATGCCATTCTTCTGAAGTAAGGGCAGCTCACTCACCACCTGGTGACACATGAGACCCAAAAAGACATTCAAGGTTAAAGAGACAGGCGCCTGGGTCACAGGGAGAGATGTGCATGCTTTCTGCAGCGCTAACATGACATTTGTGCTTGTCAATTTTGAGAAGGAAAATGGTGGGAGGCAGGGACTGTTCAAATTCCCTAATATTATTGGGGTCCCAACCAGGGCCTTTGCACCTACAGTTCCCTATACCTGAAATGCTTTTACATCAGACATCTGTGGGGCTCCCTCCCTCAACTCCTTCAGATTTTTGTTCAGAGGTCACTTTCTCAGTGAGACCCCACCATCCTGTTTAAAATAGCCATCCACCCCCTGTCCTGCAGAGGCCTGTCTGCTTTGTTTTTCCTCACAGCATTTATCACTTCTTAGCACACGATGTGGTTCACTTACTTATTTTGCTCAGTGTCAGTGGACAGTCAGCTCGGGAGGGCAGGTTCCCTTCACTTCCCTCATCACTCTCCCCCAGCTCCTAGCTCATGACTGGCACAAAGCAGCTGCTCAACAATTATTTGTTAATTAAAGAAATGCTCTCACTTACCATATGTTTGTTATGTGCCAGGAACCCTATACAGATATCTCATGCTCATATTTATATTTTTCAACCACCCCGTGGGGTTGGGACCACCTTATCCTCCATGTCCCCATTTCACAGATGAGGAAACACGTTGAAAGGCAAAGTGAGCTTCCCCAGGGTCACACAGTGGTGGAGCTGGGAGTGGGTCCAAGGCCCATTTACCTCCCCAGTTGGGGCTCTTACAGGGCCTGGGAGAAGGCAGCATGTTCAGAAGTTGAGGCAGGACAGTTATTACTCTCTCCCAGGGTGACTTTCCTCATGTGGCCTCACAGGCAGCCTTGGAGACCACAGAGTGAGAACTCGGGGCTTGTAATCGAGTCATGATTTTATGTAGTGGCTGTGGGTGCTGGGTTCCAGAGTTCATACCTCTAAGAAGGAGAATATTCCCTTGACCATCTCCAGTGGTAAGGACTCAGATCCGATGGCCAGACAAGCATTCATCCCCTTTTTGGGTCCATACTGTGTGCCAGGCACAGTATTGCAGGGGAGACCACCACCAAGTGGCACACTCCCTGCCCTCATGGCACAGATAGTTCAGGTAGTAACAAATATTACATAGGGATGAAATAGAGGGACATGGTTGTGACAGGGGGGGATACCTCACATGGGCCCAGGAGTCCTTTCTGAGCAGAGGCTGGGGGAGCAGGCTCCTGGCAGTAGGGACAGCAAAAGCCTCAGAGGAGATGAACTAGGAGTCTTTGAGGAGCAGAAGGACCTGTGTGGCTGTTGCTGAGTGAGTGAGGGGCTCAGGGTGAAGCCAGCAAGGTGGGCAGGCAGATCATATGGTATGGACTTGGGATTTCATTCCAGAAGTAAGGGGGTCATTCAAGAGTCCCAACCAGGACCCTTTGTCTAACCAGCCTCTGGGGCCTACCCTGCCTAGGGACATCCTGATTTGGGAGCAAGGCCAGCAAGCGCCAACCTAGAAGGAGACCCTATCAATCAAATCAATCCACAAATGTGTTCTCGGTTGCTTTGATGTGCTGGAGTCTTCCATGGATGCTGCTAAAGAAGATGCTTGGCCCTAGGAATGAACAAACTAATAAACAAGTAATGCAAACTCCACTATCCTTGCCAAAGGTCTGAATAGGGATTGTTAGAACATTTCCTTTTGACCTTGGAGGTTTGAGGCAGTGAAGGGGAGTGCAGGTGACATCATCACTCTGAGCATGTAAAAAGATAGAAAGACCTTCCTTTTGGGGTTTTCCAGAGGGTGAAAGTAGATGAGGCCCAGGCAGACCTTCAGTAAGGGCAGCTGTCACTCATTCCCCTTCTCAGGTAGAAAGAAGTTCAGTTTGGGGGGCACAAACCTAAGAGCCATTTGCTGTAATGATAAGAAACAAATTGTTTTCCTCTTTCCAGTCATACATGGGTTAGAATTACCTAGGAGCCTTTTCTAACAGAACCTTTAATAACACTAATCTTTAATAACATTAGTCTTTTCCTGTGTTTGCACAGGCATGTGTGCACACACATTTGAGTGGGCACATGCACCCATGCACACACATACATGCACACTTGTGCATGCACACACACACAGATGAGAACACACGCATGTGCTTGCACATATACAGAGGTCTATGATACATACACACACACCCTTACCCACTCATACACACATGCATGTATGCACAGACAGGTCAAGAAGAGCTCTTCTGTCCCAGATCCTCTGAAAACACAGAATAAATGTTTCTCTAGCTATTAGGCACACCATGGATTTTCGTTAAAACGTTTTTGCAAGCGGTCAGTAACTATAAATGGCAAAGCAGAAAGGTTGCTGCAGCTACAGCAGATGTACAGAATGCACAGTGGGGGTGAGGAGCCTTGGGCTCAGGGGCTAGGATGGGCCCAGGGCCTCCAGAGGTTGGTGGGGTGCACCAGTGTACCTGTGAAGGGCACCTGTATGGTTAAGCCCTCTGAGGACTTATTTTATTCAACTGGGCCTTTGTGGGGGGGTGCTGAGAGAGAGTTCCGGCTCAGGAGCTAGAGGTGTGTGGGGGGGTCTCAAAGAAGTCCCTAAACTTCTCAGGCCTCAGTTTGCTCACCTGGAAAATGGGGATCATAATAGTACACATAGTACAAAACAGTTCTCATAAGGCTGTTGGGAGGATTAAGTGAATGGGATTAGGTAAGTGTCAGGGGAATTCTGGGAACGTGGTGGCCTGAACAGGGCATGGAGACATGTGGCTGCAGAGACTTGGGGCCACAGGCTGTGGGTTAGGCCTTGGGCTGTGCTGGGAGAACTGGAGACCAAGAGGCGCCCCTTGCCAATGGGTTAGGTTGCCACTGGGGAGCTCTCCAGAGCCCTGGGACAAGGAGAATCAATGTAGACTTTCAGGAGTACATTTCAGCGTCAATCTCAGGAGTGCTTTGGTGGGAGGAGCAGAGTGGGTGAGGTAGGGTTTCTCTGTCCTCAAGGCTGGAGTGCCTAAGACATCTTGCTTATGAACCATAGGCCCACAGGGCCTGAGACGCCCTCCCTTTCTTCTGCCACTAAGACGTGCCCAGCAACCAGACCTCAGTCCCATGCAGCCAAGGAGCAAACTAACTGCCCACCTGAGGAACACAGAAGCCAGAGAGCAGGTCGGGCAGAACAACCAGAATAGGCACTTCTCAAACAATCAGAAAACAAGTGTATGTGTTTTTCCTATTGCTGCTGTAAAAATGTCACCATAAATGTGGTGGCTTAAAATAGCACCAATTTATGATCTTACACTTGTTTGATGATCACTGCTCCTGATTTTTTTTTCTAGAGGAAATACTGACATTTTAAATTCAGTTTTAAATTCAGATTAGTTTTGCCATTCTAGAACTTCATAAATTCCTTCCATTACAAAACAATCTATGGGTGAACAGGCAAAATGAGTCTGTGAGGTTGCCAGGTTTAATAAAAAATATATGGAATTCCAAGTTAAATTGGAATTTGAGATAAAGAGTGACCAGGCTGTTTTGGGGCACTGGAAACATTCTGTATCTTGACCTGGGTGCTGGCTGCACAGATGCTGGAGCTTCCTGGCTTGTATTTTCATGATGTGTGCCCTTCTCTGTGTGTTACACAGTCCATAAAAAAGTTACATCATACTAGGTAAATGAATACATTCTTACTATAAAACAGCTACAAATGTTACAGAGTATTTTGCCTAAACAGTTAGCTTTCTGTCACTATAGCCAAATTCTCCCTGGAGGGAATGAGTGCTTGTGGTTTGGCTGAGGTCTTTCAAACTACATTTTTTACTCTTTGCTTTTGTAAATTGAGATGCACCCGTAGCAAAACGCACGTCTCTTAGTGCCCAGGGCACTGAGTCTTTGCAAAGTACGCTCTGTGACACCACCTCCCAAATCCACACATGAAGCACTCCAGCTCCCAGAGCGACCCAGTGTCCCATGTTCATCAACATCCCCCTAAAAGTAACCATTTTTTGACCTCTAGCACTATAGATTAGTTTTGCCATTCTAGAACTTCATAAATTCCTTCCAGACTTGTTTAAAATAAAATTTTAATTTTAGAATTTACAGAAAAATTGCAGTTTCCATATACCCCTCAGTCAGTTACATCTTACATTACTGTGGGACATCCATCCATGACTGCTGACCAAACTCCAGACTTTATCCCAGTTGCACTGGTTTTTCCTTTATTGTCCTCACTTCTGTTCCAGGATCTAATTCGTGATACCACACTGCATTTCCCTACTTCTCTCCCCCCACCACTTCTGCTTTCAGTCTCTCTCTAATTTGCACACAAAAATATACATCTTTTCACATTAGTATCATAGCACACATACATATGTGTGCATACAGATATGCTTTTTCACATTCATGGTTACACATGCACACAACATGCCGGCCACCTGGGCCTTTCTACTCCACAATGTGTCTCAGACACCTTTCGAAAAGTCCCCAGCCCTCACCTCACTGATGAAGGTAGGAAGTGTGTCTTCCCAGCTGTGGCCAAGGGGAGGCTGGTGGCAGAGCCAGGTCACACAGTGAGCACGTTTAATACATGCTTACATGCTTCAAGCACCAACTGAACAAAACAAAGAAAAACCCAACAAACTTTTTTTGGAAAGGATTAGATATATTTTTAAAAAGGATTAAAATAGTCATCACGGGGAAAATCAGGACATTGTGAGATGCTCTTATGTAAGCTAGTTTGACCATTTCTGACTGCTTTTATCTTTTCATTTCACATAAGGTGGTGGGAGTCAGTGTCTTCAGTTTTCAGGTCTTGTAGAGGTTTTAATTCAGCACTGGCTGGAGGTATTTTAAAATTCATTTCCTTTGCAGGTACTTTTTCCTCTTTATCCCCCAGAACTCAGGTCTAAGCCATTATATC